ACTTTTTCTTCCTCCAGTCTCTTCTGGCTGAATCTTCTTTTCTCTCCCCTGCATCCACCCACTCTCTGGCACACCGCTTCTTCCAGTCCTGGTGTCCACATGGTCCATCCAACCTCCTGGGATCAGTGGGAGGTCATTCCAGCTCTCCACTGCCTGGGGTGCTTTAGCAGGAGCAGAGAGGATGAGTTGGGCCAGTGTGTTCTCCCTCCTCAGGGCTGCTGCTGGCCTAAGCACGCAGGGAGGAAGATGAGCTGACAAAGGAAATTTTCCTATGCTTGATGTTCATGGCTTATCCTGAGGCATGGAAAATAAATCACTTCTTTATCCTTTCTTGTCTTGGCTTCTGCTTGTTTTGCCTACTGGTTTGAAGCAACCGGTGTCAAGAGCTGGGCAGTGCTTCAATGTTGGGCTGATCCAGGTCTCATGGTCCTCTAGTCTCTTGGAGCTGCCTGGTTTTCTTCACGAGGTCATGATTTCCATGCTGTGTGCAAATGTAAAGCCGGGTGGGACCAGGGCAGTGGCAGGGACTGAGCTCCTATACAGCGTGGGCTGGAGACCTTCTCCTTCCAGCCCCATGAGTCACCCAAACTAATTTCTTCTAGAGGTCTTTCTGTGGTGCTCAAACTAGAGCTCTCTTGAAAAGATCAAAGATATGTGGAAAACATTTCTTCAAAGAAGAATCCCCCAAAGGCATTGCTAATTTCTCTCCCTTGAATTAATTAACCTTTACTTAAAAGTTAAATTTTCAACTTGTCTAAGGGCAGGGTTGAAAGGAGAAAGCCCAAAGCCACAGTTGCAGTGGGGCTGGAAAGGGGCTGCCTTCATCCCACCACTCCCAGCTCATTTTTATGCTTCTAGCCACTTTCTGAATGAAACCCCAGGGACCTGGTGGGTGTCCGAGCTCCTGCATCCAGCTGTGGGGTCTCATGTGGGTCACCCCAGACCATGGTGTTGAGCCTTGGTGTTGGACTTTCTGCTCAGCTGTGGCCAGTGCTCCTGCCAGCGGCCAGTCGTGATGCTCTGTCCCTGGACAACTTTCTAACTTGTATTCATTGCTGCTCCTAATGCGTCTTTCTGGCTTGTATTTTCATTTTGTCTGTTTTCAGAACTGCTTTCACTTCCAGCCAGGTTGAGTTTAAACTAGTGCTGTCTTCATTACTGGCTTGTAGTTCCCAATTTTCTTTCTCATACTTCTCTTTAAAGTGTATCTCTGAATTGCTGTAATTTATAATTCATTTCAGATTAGGGAATCTGGCTTCTTTCAGGGGAAAGAATTTCTCCATTATATATGTATGTATGTAGACAGTCTGTTTTCAGGGATATATTACTTTGGAAACCAGCTTTGGCGCTTTCTTCCCATGCTGGTGTCCCCTCAGACAGCAAAGGTTCCATTCTCAATTTCTCAGGGTTTCTGTCACACAGTGGTGGCACCAGCGTGTGGAATTGGGCCTGGACTCTGGACTTCCCTGTGCTTTATGATTTTTTTTTGATCAATTTTTGTTTTCTGTGGCATTGACCCTCCTCTTGAATAATACCTTGGACATGTTAACAACTGGGGCACCTTGTTTTTTTAAGGCAGAACAATTATTGCACACTTGGATGGACGCAGCAGTCTAATTCGCTGACAGCTTTTCATTAAAGGATCTCATTAAGGTTCTTGCTCTGTTCCTATTTATCAACGGTTGCAAATACATTGGTGTGATGAAATCAAGCGGATTGTACAATGTTATCTTTAAGAAACACTTGGCCCAGAGATAGGTGTTTCTTTCAGATAAAGGAATAGTACAATTATCCCACTTCCTGCAGGAGTACCAAATAATAACATAATAACAACCCTGCCAGTCTGCAGCCACGTGTGGCAGGAGTTGCTTGAGCTGTGAATTATGGTCTTTCTGCAAGGGGAAAAAAAAAGGTAGAAAGCACCTATAATCTGGTTTGATTTTTGCTGTGTTGAGCTCAAGTGCTTGAAGCACTGCAGAAGCTAAGATGATAGTGCTTCTCACTGGTAATTATCTGAGTAGAGGGTGAGGGGGGTGTGTTGGGTGGGGATGCAGTGATAGTGAGTGTAAACTCTCAGAGGCTGTGCTACAGCTCCAGTCACGTCCTGGGCATCTGGGCCCTGCCATCCCCCTTTCCTCAGACCCTCTCAGTATGTTCCATCCTGATATTTATCTGTTCTTTTCAAAAAAACAGCCCCAAGGGTGGGTGGTGTGGGATAAAAGTGGTAATTTCTAGCCAGAGGTAAGAAGGATGGTGGGAAGGTGATGGTCAGAGTCAAAGGAGTTGGTGCAAGTGTAGTCCTTCCTTGGTTGCAGTAAATACTAGTGCTCTAGAAGAGAGTTTGCCCAGGTGGATGGACTACATCCCACACAACAGACTCTGCTCCTTCAGGAGGAAGGGAAGAAATGCCACCATGGCTTCCTGGACAGTGTGTTTGCAAGGAGAAGCTGCAGAGTCTGTGCTTTAGAGATGCCACCTTGGCTTGGAACAAGATACTGAGTGAAGAGCCAAGAGTATATGGCTGCATGTAAAGGGCTGTACTTATGTGGGTAATCCCTACTTGGGGGAGGAGGACTGCTAATGAGAGCTGGTCAATACAAGCTTGCTGGTGTGAAAAGCAGACAATACTGAGGTGGCTGGAGGCTTTCTCAGAGGGGTGGTCACTTTTCCTGCCTGTCTGAGCTGCTCTGGTGAGCATTTCCCCATCTCTGTGGCACTGCAGTCCTGCACGGGGTGAGGTGAGGGGTACAAAGCTGAGTACCAGGGAAGCCCAGAGCAGAAGACATCAACAGAAAACTGTTCCTGCTTCATTTGTGGAAATGGCCATGATGCAAAGCACAGCCTTGGGCTGGGAAGTGAATCTACTGACACATGGTTTTCAGAGGAATTTGTCTTCCACGTGTCCATCCCCTGGGTTCCTGCCCTCTCCTTTGGGGAGGGGAGTCCTGTCCACAAAATTAAATGGGATTTGTCTTTGAATATTTCAGTGATCTTGTGCTTTACGTCTTGGCTTTTGCTGGGTCATGGTCTCTCCTTTCTTGTTGCTCCTAGTTCTGATGAATTGGTTTTTGCCTTTGGAAAGACGTGTGCTTTGCTAGCAGCAGAGTTAATATACCTCTGTGGCCCCATTACTCACAGTTGGCTCTTCCTCTCTGTCAGGGTGGTGGAAAAATCTTCCTTCGCTAGAAACAAGATCAAGATTTAAATCATTCTTTGTATTTCTGACAAGCCACTGCTTGCAAGCTTTAAGACTCATCAGTTCCCCGTTCCTTTATTCTCCTTCACTGTGGTTGCTTGCATTAGCAGTGTTTTCTGGAGAAAAGGAAGTTTATCATCTACCACGTCTGTGCTCCAGTGCATCCTGAGAGGCAGAGGAGTGTTGCTTTCAGTGGGGATGCTGCACAGGGCTGGGGCTGTAACACCCCTTGTTCTTAAAAATGGACTGAAGGTATCTGGCACAGCTTTGCTGTCCTGGCACTGCTTCTGTAGATTGCAGGGCTATTTTGAGGTTTATGGGAAGGCTAATCTACCTGGCTGCATATTTTATATCAGCTTTGTTCCCCAATAAGTGCCCAGTGCAGAGGCTGGAAGTGATTTTTCCAGCTGGCTTTAGTGCTTTGCAATCTTGGGGAATAATATTGTGTTCAAAAATGCTGTCAGTCCTGTCTTAGGCTCAGACCTTGCTACATTCCATGGTTGGAAACTTCTCCCCCTTCCCTCACCCCACCAGGTTTGGGGCTCTCCCCTCACCTGCAATGCAGTGAAGTGCTGTGTGTGAAGTCGGGACCAAGGCAAAAGCCACTGCAGCTCACTGTCCCCAGTGTTGGCACCGCAGATGACCCCACAAGAGCACTTAGACTTTTTGCCAGGAGCTTTGCACTGTGGCAAGGTGTGTGCTGTCCTCCTGCAGACCCCATCGTGGTGGCCAAGCTGGGCAGGTCCCCCGGGTGTTCCTGGGCAGCTGCAGGGAGAGCTTGGTGTGGGCAGTGCATGGTGCTCACCGTGCGCTTGTGGTCTTGAGTTCCCTCAACTTCTGTGGCATCTGGGATGTTCTTGTAATTAATGATGATGGAGGGGGGTAAGCTCCAAGGGAAATGCAGCCATGGAGCTTTTGCTGCAGCTGTGAGAGTGTGTTTTTTCTTTAGGTAGTGCAATATGAAAGGAAGTGGTGGACTTTCAGTGCATCAGATGACCACATGGCTCCTCTGTTCTGCCTTGGCTTCCAGCAGTTGACACCTGGGGCCACCCTCACTGTGTAGCTCCCAGTCTGTCAAGTAGCTCAGTGCCCTGTCATCACACCCTCGTCACAGCTTGCCAGGGGTCTGCATCCACCACCCTTCTACCTCTTGGGGTTTCAGTGCTGGGCAGCTTGCAAACAGAGATCAGGCCTGCCTTGGGGTGATTTATTTTGGCAAATACTGTGCTGGTTGAAGGGAATCCACATCGTTTGTGTTTCATTGCAAAGGAGCTTGTGGCTCCACGTGTTCTCAAAGAGCAGCCCACAGGGTGAGGGCTCCCTTGGGTGCAGCCCCAGCTGCTGTGCACAGCCCCCAGGGTGGGGGGCTCTTTGCCAGGCTCACGGTGGGCTCATGCTGCAACCCCCAGGCTGGTGTGGGTGCTGGGAGCTGCCAGCCCCCGAGAGCCCTGTGAGCTGGGGACGGATGTTTTTCTGCTTGCTATTGATCACAGTCTAATGTAGATGGTTAATGTATAGAGGCTGGGGGCTGCTGTCAGGCTCGCTGGGCTGAATCTGCAGCGATGCTGGGGAATTGGGGTGGAGGAGCCTCTGGCTTTAGGCCAGCACAGCCAGAGTCAGAATTCAGCCCCTAATTGCTTGGTCTTGCACTGCCAAAAAAATACAGTGCTTATAGTGTAACACATACTAGTTTAAAGAAAATTTAGTCTTTCATTATTCAGCACTCTGCCTCTACTCGATGCTGATTCAAACTCAGTCATTTCCTTTTACCAATACTCTAATTATGTTCTCTTTTTGATTGCAGGACTGTGTGCAGTTAAACCAGTATAAGCTGCAGAGTGAAATAGGCAAGGTACGTTGTAGGAGCTCATGTTTGTCACAAGCAACCTGCGTGCACACACACAAGTACAAGTTGAAAGACTGTGCCATCCCAAGACTCTTTGCAACTTGTGTTTGCTTTGGGTTTTTTGTTTGTTGCCTTGTTTGTTTGAGCAACTTTTGTTCAAGGTCAAAGTGGAGCTACTTCCTCTGAGATCTAGATTTATTTTCCTTCCCTCTGAAGGTGGTTAAGCTGGCTCCCTTCCAAGGTGTTTTCTTGCCAAATGTAACACTGAGAGCCTTTGATGCATTAATACAGCCCAAGGAAAGGCAACAAAATAAAAAAAAAAAATCAGGGCAGGTGTTTTGTCCCCATAAGGAATAGTTAAAGTTTTTATGCCTGTGAATGAGATGCTAGTTTAATTCTAGTCCATGTTTAAAAGCTGGAGAATCATTCCAAAGAGATTCCTCCAAAGTTATTTAAAGGTCTGGACTGGTGAGCAGTCCAGACACCTGCACATTTGGATGTCTGCCACCATTGCAGATGGGTCCATGAGTGACGGTGCTATCTGGAAGTCGTTCCTACCTTTGCAGTCAGAACACTGCAGTCAGAAGGGACTGCACCCTGGGCTGTGGAGACTTTCATCAAAAGTTTCATTAGCCCAAACTCCTCTCCTAAGCAAAAGTCCCTGGGCTGTGGGAGGAGGCACCCGTACCATCTGCACAGTGGGCTGTGTGTTTGGCTGCTTGCAGTCAGGGTGTAAGGGTGGAGATATCACTGCTGGTGGTACAGCAAATGTCATCTGAAACTCCCACACAGCTTCAGACTTTCTTATGACTCTTGTCATTGGCTTAGGTAGGATTTAAGGAAAGTGTGAGGCCTTCTCTTGGGTGGATTTGCCCCTGCTGCCTCCTTCCCTGCAGCTCACAGTGAGCACATAGGCCCCCTGAAGCTGGTAGAGGGTCTGCTGGACCTACTAAGCTTCTGGATCAGCCACATGGCTTGTCGGTCTCCTCTGAGACCAGGACCTCCATTCCAGCTCTCAGTGAAGTCAAGAGAAATGTTTTGAAGGCCGTAGTATTCATCCCACTCATTTGTTCAGCAGACATCTGTCAGGGATGATACCTAGCCATGGTGTCATGTGTCACTTGCATAATAAAATGTATAATGTTGACACAGAACTGTGGAAAAACAGTGTTTTGGATGGAGTTTGGCTTCAGGCCATCCCTGGAGCCACTGGAGTAGATATAGCAGTGATCCAGGCCCACATCTGCCTAGCAAGAGGTGGTTGGAGGAAAGCAGACAGCTGGTGCTCACTGGAGTCCCTTTGCTATCAAGAGATGGAGTGATTTCATACTGAAAATCGCTTTGCACAGAAGTACGGGAAAGGTGTTGATGCAGAAATTTCCAAACTTACACAAAAAAGAATCTGCTTGAAAATTACTTTCTGCTCCCCATCCACGTTTGAGTTAAGAGGCCCAGTGGCTTGGGGCAGGAGGTGATGGGCTAACATTCAGCTCCTCCAGACAGTGTTAATCCTCAAACGCCCTGTAGCTCCAACAGAGCTGCCACAACGTATGACCTTGCTGCAGGCTCCCATCCCCTGCAGACTTTGCTCAAGGGTAGGCATGGCCTGGTGTCTTGGAGGTGGTTTTTTTTCCCCTCTATGTAAGGCCGCGGTCTACCAGCCTTGAGCAGCATGGAGGGGAGGTGAAGCTGCTGAACTGACTGTGCAACTTGTGTTTATTTTTAGGGTTCCTATGGTGTTGTGAAACTGGCCTACAACGAGAACGATGACAAGTATTACGTAAGTGTCCCTTTTCTCTGCTCCTCGCTGCGGCTGCTGCTCCTCATTCCCCTTTGCCCCCCCGAGAGCTGGGTTCCCTCTGCCTTGCTGCTTTTAGCATATGCATTTTTGATTTGGGTAGCATGCAAGGAATTAAACCTCCTCGCTGGGGATGGAGCTGCTGCCTGCGCGTCTGCTTGCGTGCAGCGCCGAATGGGAGGGAAATCGGGTGGGCCGCTGTATACAACAGACGGGGATCTCGGAGGCAGGCTGCAGAAGCATATTGCTGATTTGTCTTGACATTTTCTGGCTATGAAGCAGGTCACCTGAAATTAGAGGCATGTGGGTGGTGGTATTCAGCACCTGCTGTGCATTGCATGGGCGTGTTTTTTAAGGAAATGGGGGTGTTAATCAGAAAGATGCTGAACAGAGTGACCCAGCTGGGCAGTGCCTGGCTCCCCTGCATCTTACCCCCTTGTGGGTGCCTCCCCATGCCCCCAATGGGAACTTGCTGCCAGGTGGTGAGGTATAGGGTGCAGGGCAGAAGGCAAACATTGGTATTTAAATCCTTTGCTGAGCTGAAGCCAGAGTTGAAGGGTTTCGGATTGAAAAAGGCTGCTCATGTTGAAGGCTCCTTCCCTGGCACTCCCCTTTCAGAGTGACATTCACTCTTTCAGGTGAACCCCAACCATCCCAGCTGGAATTCTTGCAAAATCTGTCTGCAGATATGCTCGTGTTCCTGGGCTTGCCCTGTGGCATGTTTTGTTCAGCCTGAGAGCAGGAGCTGGACAGCTGGCAAAAGGAAAACTGCCTTGCTGTGTGTGGCTGTGCCTGGAGTCTCGTGGAAACAGCTTTAGGCAGTTTCTGGTGGATCCCAGGGCTGCTACTTGCTGAGCAGAGCTGGTGGCAGCAGTACTATTGAACCCAAACCCCAGTGCCCTGTAGTTTGGTGAGAGAGGTCTTGCTTTCTCTGCTGTGATGGAGTGGCCTCGAGGGTGAAAATGGGCCCATGAGAGCACCCGGGCAGACTCGTGTGCTGCTCCCTGTCCTGGTGCACAGAGCTGTTGGTACAAAGGGATGTAAGAATATGCTGTGGAGATGTGAAGCATGTTCTTTCCCTGCTGCTCCCCAGCTAGCTTCTCCTCCCTGACTCTTGGATTTACAAATGACACACTGGGTTGGAGGGGTCAGGTGGAATTGCGTGCCTGTTAGTGTGTGTTAGCCCTTCTGTGCTTCCAGCAGGCATGAAATTGCAGGAGAAATGTCTTGAAAGGAAGGATGGAAGAGATGAGGCAAAAATCTGGACAAGGTGCCCTGGAGCTGGCCAAGCAGAGGAACCACAATTCTTTCCATTTCCTTTCCTTTCCAAGCTGACTCACCCACCGCACTGGAGCGGTTGCTGTTTCCAATGGCTCCCTTTCTCCACTGCCCTCCGAGTCCTCCCTCCCTCCCTCCCGTGCCCTGCAGAGGACAGGTTTGCTCTGCAGAGAGCGATGGTGCCAGCCAGGGCTTCCCTGATCCATCTGTCCTACCAGCATAGGCAGTGCCAGGACCAGCAGCACGGAGTGGAAAAGCATCACATCATGTTTCTTGCCAGCTGAAAATATTTTTTGCTTTGAAAATTGTAATCTTTACATTTTGGCACTGCCCTTCTTGTTCTGGGAATCCTGATGCCGTGTTGCAGGCAGGGTGGTTGCCACAACTCAGCAGGGAGAGGTGGGTTTGGGTTAGCATTGCCTGCTGCATTCTTGTCCATGGTGTGGATGTAGGTTAACGCTGTGGACGTAGATTTAGCTGGTCAAATCAAAGACAAAAGTGAAAGCCTGTGTCCAGGTTAGCCTGGTGTGTGTTAGTTAATCCCTGCTTAATCTCCATTTCTTTTTCTAATCTAAGCCAACACTTTAAAGCCACTGCAGCCTGAGAGTGGTTCCCAGTCCTGGGCAGTTTCACCCTGGCTGCCTGAAGAAGGGGTAGGATGCATAGACCCCCTTCCCCCTTCCTGCCAGTGTTGTGGGGACACACTGAGGTTCACCCTGATCCTCAACAGGCAGAGGAACCAGAATTGGATCTCAGCTGCACCCTGGGGGCTGTGGGGTGATCCTGGGAGGAAGTGCTGCAGTGGATGGAGAGATAGGACTAGAGCGTGAGCATTGGCAGTGTCTGCCTGTGTTTCACGGCAGTGGATGTCAGCATATGGGAGAGGAGAGGGCAGATGGCTGCACTGCTGCTGAAAGGCTGCGATGCTAAAATCTGTGTTTCATGTGCTTCTTACCCTTTTGGCTGGGCAGTGGGAGCTTTCCCTTTTCCCAAGCTGGAGTCACATGCAAAGAGCCTGTCACCCCTCATCCTTCCAGGTGCCTGTGCTTGTGTTTTCTAGGTGGGCAACCCGTGATGGAGAGACCTCCACTTTTCCAAGCCATTAAAAGAGCCGAGGAGCTGGCAGACTTTTTAAAGCTTCAGAGAAATAGCACATTGCATAACTGGCTAATGGTTGCTTAGCTCCCCACGCCTCCCGATGGGTCTGACCCACATGCACTCCCAGTGCTGAGAACTTCCACGCTGCTCTGCTTCTCCCTCCTGTCTGAGCCCACCTTGCAGCAACATACCCTGACCCCCCAGAGGGATACCTAATGCAACTGCCTCTTACCAGCAGTTTAGTAGAAGCAATTGCAGTTTTGGCAGTTGGGGAGGGCCTTTTCTGTGTGTTTATTTGCTCCAAATTTAGCTCTGGAGGGTTGTTTTTTGTCTCAGTAGTAAAAAGCAATAACAGATAATTGGAGGAAATCAGCCCTTGGTTGGCCTTTAGTGAGCAGCCCTTAATAACCGATTCACACGCGCAGTGTTTTAGCATGAGGCCAGGGTGTTGCTGCCAGCTTTATTTTCTTAAAGCTAGTGTGCTGCAATAAAAAGGAGCAAAACTTTAAAGAAAGCAGAAAAAAAATTATTTTGGAGTATAATTTGGAGTGTGACTCCTGATTCTTGCTGAGACATAGGGCCTTTGCCACCTCCCTTTGCAAAGGCAGAGTTTAAAGGTACCAGAAACTGAATCTAGCTCCTGTCAAAGCAAAAGGAAAGATTTCTGTTGCTTTAATGAGTTTTAGTTCTGGCCTAGAATTAGGAAAAACTCCCAAGAAAAAAAGCTAATCATCACATTTGAGAAAAATGTAGATGGGTTGTATTTACTTTGTGGGTTTTCTTACCTTCCATTAAAGATGAGCAAGTGCTTCCAAGAGCTTTATCCTTTGTTGCTGTGAACAACCACAGTGCTGTGGAGGGCTGTGAAAGTGTGCTGACGTAAATGTAGGGAATGTATTAGACCAAGGAAATTGAACTTTGAGCACATACTTGATGTGACCCAGTGCTCCCTCCAAGGAGGAGACCTGATGAGGTCTGAGCTCTGTCCCCGCTGCTGTTGGGGCACATGAAGCTCTTAGAGCAGCATTTGCAGGGCTCTGCCAAGGAACCCTTTACAGCTGGAAAGGTTTCAGTGTCTCAGTTTGCAGAAGATGCTTTGACAGTGACTAGGGGTGGGGGGAAAAGAAGAAAAGCCAAGCTCTGTGAAAAAGCAGCAAATAAAAAGCAAAGGCAGACGTGTCCAGGCGGAGATCTAGTTTGGAGTCATTGTGCTGATGGAATTTGATTCTGTGATGCCTCGGGTCATGTCTCCGTCCTATTTTTAATCTCTAAATCAGCTCACAAAGAAAAGTGGTTATGATGGACATTTGTTATACTACTTCTGGACAAAAGCAATAGCGTTGTAGGTTGTCAGTGGGTTTCTCTTTTTGTTGTTTTTCTTTTTTCTTTTTTAATCTTGTTTCCTAAGAAACAAGATTTATGTGATTGTGCTCTCTGCCTCTGTACCTAACTACCTTTGCGTGGAGGGGCTGTTTTCTACCAACTGTCAATGATGGGGAGAAATTCCTTCCAAGTTTATGGAAAGAGATGGCTAAACAAAGTGCTGCTGAGGAGAAGGTGGCCAGGAGCAAGCCTTGAACTTTCTAGCCCCTGGAGAATCCCCTTTGGTTGCCATCCAGGCGGGAAGCGAAGGCATGGCTCCTGTGTTTCTCATCCTCTTGCTCACATAACAGCTACTGAACTGCTGCCAGCTGCTCTCTGATGCAGTGAGGACCAGGGAAATGATCTATTTAACAACCCATGCTGTTCAGCAGTGGGGTTGTGAGGAGCTGGGTCACCCGGGGTGAGGGCAGGAGCCTTGGGGAGATGTCTGGAGGCAGGCGAGCGTGGCCGCTCTGGGAAGGCATCATTGCTGTGGTGTCATGGCATGGAGGGGGCACAGCCTGCAAATGTAATTCTGCTGCTGATGTGACAAATGGTGTCTGGACAAAAGGTGACAAATACAGGAGCGGGGTTTTAGGGGCATGGCAGCTGGTCTAGGATTTCCTTTCAGTTTGTAGCACTCCTCTCTCCCAGCAGAGCTTCTATCTTCATCGCTTGATCTGAGGGATGTTGTTGTCACACAGGACAGGTGAGGAAGGGCTGGAAATGCTCTCTGGTTTGCTCAGCCCTCCCGCAGAGGGCTGTCACGCACTAGCAGAGCGTTCAGGTGGTTAATAGTGACCTTTGAGCAACATCCCCACTCCCCTGGGAGCTGCAGGTAGTAGACTGTGCACAGGTCTTCTGCATTTACATGTGCTTGGGTCCCTTGCAATGCAGGTCTCTGTCACCAAATAAAATGACATATTAAGTGCTGTGAGAGCGTCACCCTTGGCTCAATCCATTTTATTACCCTTTCCTCCCCAAAATAATGGCCATTTTGCTGTTGTCATTGCAAGCAGTAGGGTGTGGGTTGGAGCCTGGTTGTTGTGTCCCAGGCATCGCCCCTCCTCTCTATGAACCTAGGATCACCTTTTCCTTGGGCATCCTCATGAAGCAGCTTCCCCGTGGTTTCCAGCTGCAAGGTTGCTAGGAAGAGAGCAGTGAACTTAAATAATAAATATAGATCAAAGGAAGGCACATGGTTCCTGCTGCTTCTCAAAGGAAAATGTCATGACCCATGTCTATGCGTGAATAGTTGGAAGGAAGGTGGGTGCAAGGGCATGTGTGGAGGAAATCTCCCCCAGGCTCCCTCTTTTCCTGCGGAAGCTGAAGCAATGCTTGCCAGTGCAAAGGGAAAATCCCTCAGCTTGGCTCTGAGCTGGTTCTTTATCAGAAAGGCATTATCTGGGTAATTAGCTCTGCCTGTGAGTACAAATGTCTTTGGCTCTTTCACGCATGTGATCCCAGAAGGAGAGGTTTGCTGAAGCATCCCTGTGCTGCTCCCATTATGCACAGCTACAATTCAGCCAGGAAGCCTTGTCCTGCCAGTCCGTGTTGTAATTAAAGTGAGGCTTCACTGCCACGTGCTCTTGTCTCTGCTCTTGTGATAATTAAGTGGCATTGGCCTGTTCCATGATGAAGTTTGCTCTTCATCCCACTTGCATTTGAAAGCACAGGGGGACAGGTCCTCTCTTCTAATCCAGCCCTGCTTGGGTAGTAGTACATACTGGTGCTTTGAAGTTGGTATAAGCATGTGCTGGTGCTTCTTCCATAGCAGTAGAGGTGGTTTACAGTCAGCTCACCCATGGTAACCCCCACTCATCTCTCCATCACCCCTTGTAGCATTCTTCAAGGAGTCTGGCTGACAGCAGTAGCTCTTGTTCCCTCCGTTTCTGTCCATGAGAGCAATTCTTGTCTTTGCTATTGCCCTCCTGCTCCCTCCAGCCTTTTCCCAGAGCCTGCCCTAGGAGGGACTAGTCATGGCTGCTGCTGATGGTTCAGTTCCTCAGGCTGCATTCTCCAAGCAATGATGCAACTTGGGAGCTTTCAGCAGAAAATTGCATCTTCTATTTCTTCTAAAGCTCCTTGCCAGAAGGCAGGTAGAACTCAAGGTGAGATTGGAGCAATGGGAGCTTTCTCCTCCCAGGCTGGCAATGGTTGAAACAGAGGTGTACAAATTCCTTTTTTTTTTCCCCATAAATTTTCATCATGGACAGATATAAGCGAGGAGCGTAGGCTTGGTCCTGGCCATCCTTGGAGGTGGTTGCGCACATCTTGGATCCTCTTTCAGCAGACCATGAATCATTTGGCTGTCCGTATGGGATACGGCACTGTGCTAAGTAACAGATAAGCACTTCTGAGTCTGTCTCTCAACACCATCCTTTCCAACAGTTGGCTCGAGAGCTGTCAGGCAGGATTGAAAACTACACAGTGTCTCTTCTCAATTACATGGGTGCAAATCCAGAGGATTTCACTGGATCAGTACCAAAAATAACAATCATTTCAGCGAGCCATGAACCTGGCTGCAGCGGGAGCACTGATGGGAGGTGGGGATCCTGAGACGAGCGGTGGCATCACTGCCAGGAAAAACAGCTCGGGAAGGAGCTTGCTGAAATGGTTTTGGTGACCTGTTCCTAGGTACATGTTAAAAACAGGTAGCATGCAGAGAGTCTGTCTTCATGGTATTAGTGCAAAATTCCTTGGCATTTGCCTGTGTCCTGTGGGATCCCTTGGTTAATTATATTTCACAGGGGTCACTCCAGCGTGAATTGCAGATTTGGATGCTTAATTAATAGGAGTAACTGCCCATTCTAGGGGAAGGAGCGAGTGACCGTCCCAGCTCCTGGGGGCATAGAGTGTTTTCCTAAGCAAATTGTACCATGAGCTGGTTTCTCATGAAATATTTATCTGCTGGGCCACTCGGGGCTGTTTGAGGGGCCCTCAAAAAGGTTATTAACGCACAGAGCAGATGGAGGCGCAGAGACTGCTTATTAAATTTGGATTGCCTTTTGCCACTATGCTAATGCCAATTGGATGGCAGGAAAAATTACCCTGACCCCCCTCCCACGCTTCAGCTGCCTGGGTTTGCAATGGTGCCAGCATACAATTGGGTATGGGAAGGGAGGGAAACCCTTGGCAAAAGACCACTTCCCCCCCTGTGCCTTCGCCATGCTCTGGCACAAATGTGCTTCACCATTTCTGATGGTGCAGGGATGGATGTCCATGAAGTGTCCTGGGCATGGTGCTGGATCATGCTGCAGGTGCTCTGTATTGCTCTGGCAGCATGGGTGAGGTTTATGGGGATAGTCTCTGGGAAAAGTCAGCGCAGAGCTGGTGGGAGGGCTGAGTCCTCACCCTATTCTGGGTCTGTGATGTAGGTTGCAAGAGTGTTAGCTCTATGGCTGTGACACTCCAGCTCTTCTGCTTCCTGGACCCTCTGATAAAGCAAACCAAAAGGTGGGGCAACCATAGCATCATCCAAAACAGCAGGTACATAAAGGTCAGCTGGAGGAACCCACCTCTCCCCTCAAGCTCTGCCCCAAATGCAGAAATAGGAGTCCTTTTTCTTTGTCCAATTTGAAGTAAATCAAAACAATTTATGTTTTTTCGAGAAAAAGGATGAATAAAATGGTTAGCAGTGCCTCAAGGAAAGCCTGGGTCAGGGTGTGTGTGGCTGTTGGTGGCTGCCACCAACCAAGAGACTGCCTCTCTAGGTTGAGGAGCAGACCTGAGCCAGTCCCTGATGCCCAAAAACAATGAGCACTTCAGCTCTTGTTCAGTTTTAACACTGCTTTTTCTTCTTCCTTCAGGCTATGAAAGTCCTCTCCAAAAAGAAGCTCTTGAAGCAGTATGGATTTCCACGTGGGTATCTCACATGATCTACCTGTTGTCCTCAGCCAGGCAGGTCTCTGTAGGAACGTTGTCTGCAAGGACTGCAGAACTTGGCCTCATTTGAAAGCTGCCTGAGTAGTTGGGGACTGGTTAAATGCAGTGGGTAGTAAAAAGGCAGGCACAACCACAGGGAAATTCAGCACACTTTGTAATTGGGTTCCTGGCTTTGATTTTCTGAGTCTCTTTGAAGTGCTGACTTCCCTGTTGACCATCTGTGAAGCCTAATTAAGTGCTGGAAGTTAGGCAGGATGGACCCTGTCCTCCCAGGGGCTCTTCTACTCCCTCAAATAGCACTTGGCTCTAGTGGCATGGCCATGGGACCTGGCCAACAGACCAGGGTGGGAAGCCAGCAGGAGCTAGTCTGAACAGGGCTTGGAAATCTCACTTTTTGGATGGAGACTGTAATGCTTTGGGATGATAACAAGGTGATGAGATCTTCCAGAATAGCTGGAGGTATTCTGCAGAGGGGGCCAGTGGCTTCTCACTCCTGCATGCCAGGCACTGCTGAGAAATTAGTTTTTCCTCACCGTGTTATCACAATTGCAGGTCGGCCTCCTCCTAGAGGGTCAAAAGCATCTTCTGGAGAGCAGCCAAAACCCATGGCACCACTGGACAGAGTCTATCAGGAAATAGCCATCTTAAAGAAACTGGACCACGTCAACATCGTGAAGCTGATAGAGGTGAGCTGCTTCTCCACCCTAAGCTATACTGAAACAAGTCTGCCTTGTATTGCAATAAAGGGATATTTCTTCAAGCGCTCGTACTTCAGCCAAAATTGGTTTAAAATAGCTGTTCAGAAATGTAGGCTGGTGATTCCAAGCAAGATCATGCCAATTATGTATGACAAACTGACATACTTATCCCGGGCTTTGGGCTGGTACCCAAGAGAAGGCAGCTGGCTCTGCTGGTAGAAATAGCAAGCTTTGACCAGTGAAACTTGTGTGTAGACAAGCCTGGGAAGGTGCACAAGTGTAAGGCTTCAGTGCCATTTTCAATATTGGTTGAGGCCAGATTAGGACAAGTGGTGCCTTTATTGGTAGGCTGTTTCTCTAAATACAGGCAGAAGCCCAGGTTTTTCTGGAGACAGGAAAATCTATGTCCTTCAAAGCCCCTCTCTGCAGGAATCTCTAAATATTAGCCCAAGTTGTTCTCAATGCTCTGCAGCTCAGCACAGTGTACAGGGAGCAGTATAAAGTTATTTGATTAATAGCATCATCCAAAACAGCAGGTACATAAAGGTCAGCTGGAGGAACCCACCTCTCCCCTCAAGCTCTGCCCCAAATGCAGAAATAGGAGTCCTTTTTCTTTGTCCAATTTGAAGTAAATCAAAACAATTTATGTTTTTTCGAGAAAAAGGATGAATAAAATGGTTAGCAGTGCCTCAAGGAAAGCCTGGGTCAGGGTGTGTGTGGCTGTTGGTGGCTGCCACCAACCAAGAGACTGCCTCTCTAGGTTGAGGAGCAGACCTGAGCCAGTCCCTGATGCCCAAAAACAATGAGCACTTCAGCTCTTGTTCAGTTTTAACACTGCTTTTTCTTCTTCCTTCAGGCTATGAAAGTCCTCTCCAAAAAGAAGCTCTTGAAGCAGTATGGATTTCCACGTGGGTATCTCACATGATCTACCTGTTGTCCTCAGCCAGGCAGGTCTCTGTAGGAACGTTGTCTGCAAGGACTGCAGAACTTGGCCTCATTTGAAAGCTGCCTGAGTAGTTGGGGACTGGTTAAATGCAGTGGGTAGTAAAAAGGCAGGCACAACCACAGGGAAATTCAGCACACTTTGTAATTGGGTTCCTGGCTTTGATTTTCTGAGTCTCTTTGAAGTGCTGACTTCCCTGTTGACCATCTGTGAAGCCTAATTAAGTGCTGGAAGTTAGGCAGGATGGACCCTGTCCTCCCAGGGGCTCTTCTACTCCCTCAAATAGCACTTGGCTCTAGTGGCATGGCCATGGGACCTGGCCAACAGACCAGGGTGGGAAGCCAGCAGGAGCTAGTCTGAACAGGGCTTGGAAATCTCACTTTTTGGATGGAGACTGTAATGCTTTGGGATGATAACAAGGTGATGAGATCTTCCAGAATAGCTGGAGGTATTCTGCAGAGGGGGCCAGTGGCTTCTCACTCCTGCATGCCAGGCACTGCTGAGAAATTAGTTTTTCCTCACCGTGTTATCACAATTGCAGGTCGGCCTCCTCCTAGAGGGTCAAAAGCATCTTCTGGAGAGCAGCCAAAACCCATGGCACCACTGGACAGAGTCTATCAGGAAATAGCCATCTTAAAGAAACTGGACCACGTCAACATCGTGAAGCTGATAGAGGTGAGCTGCTTCTCCACCCTAAGCTATACTGAAACAAGTCTGCCTTGTATTGCAATAAAGGGATATTTCTTCAAGCGCTCGTACTTCAGCCAAAATTGGTTTAAAATAGCTGTTCAGAAATGTAGGCTGGTGATTCCAAGCAAGATCATGCCAATTATGTATGACAAACTGACATACTTATCCCGGGCTTTGGGCTGGTACCCAAGAGAAGGCAGCTGGCTCTGCTGGTAGAAATAGCAAGCTTTGACCAGTGAAACTTGTGTGTAGACAAGCCTGGGAAGGTGCACAAGTGTAAGGCTTCAGTGCCATTTTCAATATTGGTTGAGGCCAGATTAGGACAAGTGGTGCCTTTATTGGTAGGCTGTTTCTCTAAATACAGGCAGAAGCCCAGGTTTTTCTGGAGACAGGAAAATCTATGTCCTTCAAAGCCCCTCTCTGCAGGAATCTCTAAATATTAGCCCAAGTTGTTCTCAATGCTCTGCAGCTCAGCACAGTGTACAGGGAGCAGTATAAAGTTATTTGATTAAAAATCTCCTTTTTTTTTTTGTTTTTTTTTCTTCCCTGCTGTTCTTTTCCCCCTTTCCCCTTATCTCTCTGATATCAATTACAGGTCCTTGATGATCCTGCAGAGGACAACTTGTACATGGGTATGTGAGTCATTAACTGCTAACAGAACCGCCTGTGCTTAGACCTAGTGATGCAAGTAGGGCTCAGGGGCAATACCAGGAGGAAACTTGTACCAACTTCAGCAGACTTATTTTTTTTTTCTGAAGAGTTAAACACCTTTAAAGGCAGCTGGGATGGAAGGACTCCTTGCAGTAGGATAAGGCACCTTTGTGTCTTAGTAGAGTTGTGCATATCCCCTTGCCATGGGGACACTAAAAAGATGTGACAGCAGCTCTGCCCTCCCCTATGTGTATGTCTGTTCCAGTCCTAGAGCCAGGAGAGAAGGGAAGGGTGCAAGATGCTCTCTCCATACTCCTCCTCTAGGCTGTGGATAGTGGCAGTGACTCTGGAAGGCAGTCTTGTCTTAGGGTGTCCCTTCTTGCCCCTGCAGACACAGTGACCACCCTGCTGAGCCTTGGGACCTCCTAAGACAGCAGCACTCCTGCTTTGGCCTCTGAGCCCAGACCCTGCCATTGGGTGCTCAGTTGGGAGGCCATAGCTAACTGTCTTTATGCAGAGACTGAGGACTTTCTACCCATTTTTGTCTTCCTCTCTCCCGATCCTTGGAAGTGCCAACCACAGTCTAACCCCCATTTGGGCAAAACCTGGAGGCACAGGCCTGGGAGGTGCTGAGGTGCCTTCTGAGATGGGCCAGAGGAGGACATCTGACCCTATTAGATCTCTGCTTCCCTGTAACATTTCCTGATGAGACAATCTCAAAGGCTGCTTCTCATGAAATAATTATGGGATGCTTTTGAAGCTGCCTGTGAAAGGGGGCTCTGCCTAGCAAATGAAGCTATTTGCCTTTGAAAGGCCACTTTTCCCTTTCGGCTGAAGCCCCAGTGGCACTCTGGCAGCATTGAGAAGCAGCAGCCAAGGCAGACACACACGTGGTGGGGAGGGCAGCTGAGGCCACTGTTTAAAGGTCTGAACTCCTGGGGATGGAGAGAAGGGAAGGGATGAGATAGCAAGCTTTTTTGTGGAATGAAAATACATGCATGAGAAAGTAGAAAAAGCTGCAGAAAACAAACAAAAAAAACCCCCAACAAATCCAAACCAAAAGCAAGCTCTGCTGGTGGAGCAAGATAAGTCCCAGAAATGGCAGCAATAGGAGCAGGACAAGTGGGAAATGTCTTAGTCCCATTGGGGGTCCAAGAGCAAGCAGTGGCTGTGTCCCTGTTGTCCATGCCCCATCACCTCTTCGCTCCCCCATGCTCTGCCTGGGATCTGTGAGTGGTTGAGGCAGAGCCATGCAGGAAAATTGAGTTCCCTTGGCAGCAAGGGGAAGCTGTGAGTGCTCAGCACTGCTCAGGATTGGGCCTTCTGTGAGGGGGTTTCCTCCCTCCTGCTGCTGACCCAGCAATAACAGCGTCTTTCTCCTTCCTGACATTCCCCTCACAGCAAAGCAAAACGAGAGAAAGTGGAGTTTGCCCTTTGCTAATTACTGCTGGCGTTAAGGGCTGCTGTGAGCACTCTCTGCCGTGTGCTCATTGGGAAGAGAGCAGGGAATGGAGGGTGCTGACAGAAATCAGAGCAACCCGCAATAGCACAAGATGGTTGAATAATGAAATGCTGCCACAAACTGCAGCAGCTTCACCCTGGAGAGCAAGATGAGCCAATGCAGGCTGGCTTTGTACCTTCAGATGGTCTGACATGGCAGCTGTAGGCAGGGCTGCCTGGTGCTTTGGGGAGGGTGATCTGCTTGGATTTCTTGGAAGGTGCAAGAAATTCCTTAGTAATTCAGGAGGAAAGAGCTCTTCTACTCCATGAAGGCAGATTCTTCTGTTTGCAGAACAGGTCAAAGGCAGGATCAGAAAAACACATTGCCACTAACCTATGCTGTGGCAAATCCCCATTTAACCCCCTAATCAGACGTACAAACTCATGTGTTCTACAAACCTCAACTCACACCAACAAATCTTTTTCAGTTGCTCCTGCCAGGGAGCGTTTACCTCGTTGACAGCCATGTAGCTGTGCTGCTGATTGACACAGCACAAATGGAGCAACATGTCCTTACAGCATCTTATTTTGGTATCAGCAGTTTAGCAGAAATATCACACCAAACACCCTCCCTGAAGGTACTGAATAAGATGGGGCTGGAATCAGCAAGGGCTGACGCCGGGAGCAGTAGAAATGTGGTTGATAAATTATCACCCACTGTCTCCCTGTGTGGAGCTGGCGGGAGGTGGGGATATTTGTCTTTCCTGAAGAGATGAATATTTTCATTTTGCATCCTCTGGTGTCCTTGTCATGGGTGAGGGAAGAGAAGTGAGTAGAGATAAATTGATTTTGCAGGTATGGGAATGGATGTGGTTTTGTAAGTGCTAAAAAACAAATAAGCCCTGTCCTGTCTTCTGATTCATTCATGTTTTGATTTCCTTTTCTTGCAGTGTTTGACCTCCTGAGGAAAGGGTAAGTGGCCCTCCTGGGATCCCTTGTGTTGAAATTTTTGGTGTCCATCATTAACTTCCAAGATGAAATGGAGGTTTGATACGTACAGCGGGTCAAACCGCTGTCTGCAGGCAAGCGCAGGGGAGGCAAAATCCAGCTGTAGCTGCCTTTGCACTGTTACAGCCTGGAATGATGTGGTGAATAGTAATGGGCTGGGAGGACATGTCCTGGTGTCAGGCTTTGGTCTGGAAAACAAATTTGATGCCAATTCCCCATCAGGTGCCTGGAAGAAAAGGTTTTAATAGGAGTACTCTGCTGAGGTAACAGCTGCATTGTGGCTTCCTCTGGCACAAGGGGTGTGTGGCTGCATCAACAGTTACTCGCCACCCACTGCCTTATTTTGCCCCCAGCACTAACATATCATGGAAGGCTCTTTTGTTGACACATTCACCCATAGCAGGAGAAGTGATAAAATGGTGGGAGGCTCCTCACTGCTTTCTGGTGCACCTGTGCAGATTCTGGAGCTCTGCAGAGTCACAGTGAGGTCAGGAGAGCTGTGCCCAGAATACAGGAGATTCCTGAAGGGCTGCTTCTTTCTCTCTGGCCCCATGAACAAGCCTCCTGCAGGCAGCCAGCTCCAACGGGTTGCTGTTTAGAGGCTCCCCAGTCTCCCTGGTGACCAGGCTGATGACTATCCTGTCAGGAGAGGGAGAGGGGGGGGAAAAAAAAAGCTCCTATAATCAGCTGTGTCCAGGGAACGTGCAGCTTGGCCGAGCGCAGCCTGTCTGCCTCTAGCAGAAGGCAATTAGACTCCATTAGTGGCTCTGCCAGTCCCGCCGCTCACATTATTTCTCCCTGGTTTCAGCAGCAGAAAAATGTGCATGAAGAGGGAGGGAAGGCAGTGGCAGAAAAATGCAAATGGGAGATGAAGGTCATCGATCAAATGGCAGCAAGGGAGAAAAGAGAAATGCTGCAAGAAGGGTTTGCTGCTGGGGGCTAAGGAGAAGAGCCGCAGAGCCTGGTTTGGGCAATGGGCTGCTCTCAGCCAGGGTTTGGCTTGCAAGGACGGTGTCTCAGGAGCACTCCCTTAAATCCAGCTCAAGACAGTGGGCGTATGTCCAACTGCAAGGTCAAGCTGCTGAGCACAAGCAGGATTAACCCCCAGTGCAGTGAGGTCCTTAGCTCCTGCCATTCATCCGCTGGGGAACAGAAGATGCTGACTAGCTCTTACAGCCTCTTTGCCCTCAGCTTTCAGCAGGCACAGGCAGAAGAGGGGCTTTTAGAGGATACTGTGCATCTCTCAGCAGTGGCGGCATACAAAGGAAAGGAGAGGAGAAGCTGACCAGGTAACCTTGGCTGTTTAGGCCTGAATGGCTGAGTTCTGGTGGTGGCTGAACCCTGAACAGCAAAATGGGTTTTCAAAGCAGTTTAGCACAATGCACTGGAAATATGCCCACTTAACCTTTGAGCCAGTCGTTCATCTCTAGGTTCTGCCTTGGTTTAGACTAGCTGCACGCAGATGTTGCTTCAGGACTGAGCCCCAGCATGCATGACATCCAGTGCACAGCAATGGGGACTGTCCCACTGCTGCCTGGTACCTCCTGGTGATGCTGATGCTCACATCCATGAGCAGCTTTAGCCAGAAACCATAGGCCAGATCCAGTTTTGTTCCTGTCACTACACTTTTCCCATTGGGACTCTGTGTGAATGAAGTGTTTGCCCTATTTTGTGCAGACAGCAGCAATTAATCCCGGTATTGGTGAGGGCTCTGTGGCTCACACTGGCTCGGGGACTGTGCAAAGCCACCCATCACTGCTAGCCGAGCTCACTAATGTAGGCTTCACCACATCCATGAAAGGGTGCACCTCCATCCTGTGTCTCAGCACCCAGAACCTTCTGGGAGCCTGGCCCACAGTGCTGGGGACATAGTGATGGTGAATGTGAAACTCCTCCTGCAAGGAGTGTTACTGCCATTCTGCAAAGTTCTTAGTTACTCTCCCTTGTCCCAACAGGCCTGTCATGGAGGTACCAAGTGACCATCCCTTCAGTGAGGAGCAGGCTCGGCTCTACTTCCGAGATATCGTCTTGGGCATCGAGTACTGTGAGTACCACCAGCACTGACAGCAGCTTTGCAGAGCGTGTATGTTGGCCTCCTGCTGGGCTGGGGAGAAGTCTCTTGACTCTGGTGGGCTGTGAGTCGAGCGAGCAAAGTCCCCTCTAACTGCATGTGATGGGTTTGCAGTTGGTGGTGGCCCCGCTCAGCTCAGATTCACAGATGCCAGGAGCAGGTGTTCCTTAGAAGGGACATGAAGAAAACAGTAGCCTCCTTTTGTCTTTTGTCCAGAAACTCCAGCAGCAGAGTTTCTGTTTGTATCCTACTTGATAATCATCACTATTTTTCAGTAAATCATCTCCCAGATTCTTTGCTGAGTGACTGTCCTGAAGAGTGCAAGGAGGCCACATTAGATCTGTGAATGACAGCAGAGATTTTTCTGCCCCCTTGTAGCTGACATGTCCCCACTGGCATGAACCTGACCAGAGTGGGAGAAGAGGAGTCCCTGAATTGAGGACATGAGGTAGAGCAGTCTATGTGCTGGCATCCTGTGAGCATCAGCCCTGAGGAACAGCAAGGGCTGGTGTTTCTCCTTGTGGACCTAAATATGAGCAGGAAGCTTTTGCAGAGGCAGTTCGTGCCTCACAGATCTATTAGTCTTCCAGAGAAGACAACAAACATGTAGATAATGTGGTCCTGTTACTGCATTGTGTTTATATATATGTGTGCCAAATAGCTTTTGATTAGATCCATTAACAGTAGCTTACAAAGAAGTCTTTTTGATTGGATGGCCTCTTGTGGGTTAATAACTAGACAATCAGAAAAGTAGGAATACAGGTTTCACAATGGACAAAAGTCACTAGTGCAGTTAAACAGAAATCCATCATGTGGCCTGGGTTGTTCAATGTAATGACCATAAAATAAATGAGCAGAAAAAGGGTAGAGTACAATAAGAGAGATTGGTGATGACATCTAATTATTCAGGGTAGTTGTTAAAAATGACAGCAAAGACTGGCATGAAGATGCTATCATAGCAAGGGAAGGCATGATAAAATGGCAGATAAAAATTCATGTTGCTGACTGCAGGGTAGTGCATGAGGGGGAGAAAGAACACTAAAAATATGTACATCGTGACGGGCTCTAAATTAGCTGTTCTCACTCAGACTTTGTTCTGGATAGTTCTCTTGAAAATGCCAGCCCTTTACTTAGTGACAGTCAACAAAGCTAACAAGATTTGGGAAATTACTGAGAATGAAAGAGAGAAGAAAACAGAAAAGGCCCTCATACATTTATTTGGATTTGTAAGAGCTCTTAAATACAGGCAAGGAGTATCTTGAATACTTTGTGCAACTCAGCTCAGCCTGTGTTAGAAATGGCTCTCTAGAACTGAAGAAAGCTTGAAGTCTTAGAACTTCCTCTATATAGAGACAAGACCAAAGCTTTTAAGATTTGGAAATTGTCATGGGAAGGGATGATATGATAGAGGATTTTAAAATCCTAAGTGTCAGGGAATTGGTCAACAGGGAATGAGTCGTCTCTGAAAAAAACAAGAACTGAGGGGTAGCAAACAAAATAATCAGGTAGCAAGTTTAAACCAGAAGGAATTGCTCTCTCATGTAGTGTGTAATTAAACTATGATACCTATAGCTAGAGGAGATAGCAGGTGCCAGAACTATATGGGCTCAAAGTGATTAGACAAGTCTGTAGAAAAAAAGAGCATCAAGGACAATGATATGTGAGGAAGCCGCAGAGATTGCCATTGGGCTGCCTAAAGCAGGGAGTGTGTGTACTGAAGGTGTTCTGTCTCTCTGCCTGATCCTTTTCCCCAAGCTATTGGCCCCACAGGAGATGGGGTGCTGGTGTAGGTGGCCTTTGGTTTGGCTCCTCTTCCATCCAGCAGCTTGTCCACACCATCCTTGAGGTTGTTGCTGGGTGGACCTGCCAGCAGAGATAGCTGCAGTGTGCCGGGTTCCTGGAGACTGGTCTAGGTTAGCTTGGCATCTCTCAGGTGTGGCAACCTTTTATAAGCCTGACTGACTTTGACAGTGCAAGCACACAGTTTTGGTGGCACATCTGAAGGCAGAGCAGCCAGCAGGGAGGCACAAGGACACTTGAGCAAGCAATAGTCGTCCCCAGTCAATGAGCAGTGCAAACTGGGAAAGGTCAGATGTGTGAGACAGAGCTGTGTAACCTTCCCTGTTTAGTCCAAGGTGAGATTTTTCCAGCTGTTTCAACCTTAGGAGATAAATATCTGCTTCTTTCACAAACGAAGGAATTGTTTCAAATGGGTTTTCGAAAAGCCAACATGTTGCTGTGTCAAACTCTAAAGGAACACTTCATGCTGCCATAGTGCTTTGAGCCTCAACTGCCTTTGTTTCACCCATCTCTGGTGGCTCCTGTGAGCTCAGCAGCTCCTCAGAGCAAGCCCCTCATTTCTATAAGGCTTTTGTTGAAAACTCACCTTGTGTCAAACCCCTCCAGAGAACAAGTCTCTGAGTGTGGTAGACCTTGCTGAGGTGGAAGGTGGTTTGCAGTGCCCCGGTCCATCTCTATGCTGAAATACAACACCACCTCATTGTGTTTTTCTAAAACCAGTAGGAGGGAATGAAATCAATGTTTGCAAGTCTGTGATGGTCCAGAACTTTTCTAGGTGTTGCCAAAATCAGTCTGGTCACCCCAGCAAGTCAGTGGAAATGTATATATGAATGGGAAGCACAAGACTGTTTTTTCAGTAGAATTTGAAGAGTGAAGACTGCAGCTTTTTATATTCACATTAGCATTCATATTGTAGCAGAACCTGTGTGGCTCAGCTGGGAGATCCAGGCTCTGCTGCGCTGGATGCTGCTGGCGTAACGGCTCCTGCTCAGAGGAAGCTGTAAGTTTAGAAGAGTTAAAAAGAAAAAAAAAAAATTAAAGAGTGGGTAGTCCTAGGTGGAGGGAGTGAAACAGGGCAATAAATTATAGGATGCCCAAGCACTCCCAACAACAGGAACAATAGGATGCTTTATTTTGGGCTATTGAGTAACCACTTATTTTATTAGCGAATGAAAGTTAAAAATGGTGTTCTCTCAGAACTGCTGGGCAAATGCATGGCAATTATTATGTAATTACAGGGGAAAAGTGCACCGTTTGTGCACGCTGAAGGAAAAGTGTTGCCAGGCAATCTAGAGATTGCAAGGTAATTTTAATGTAAGCACACATAATTGTTATGTAATTTGTGAGACTCAATAACCATGCAGCTGCTTGAAGCTCGCAGTCGTCACAGCAGCAAATGCATCATTGCTGGTTGGGTTTTATTAAATTAGAAGTTGTGAACTGGATTTCTGTGGGAGCCTGCAAGGCGCTAATCCAGGCCAGTGTGCTGCCCTCGGGGCAGACGGTACGCGGTGAGCGGGAAGGGGCTGCAGGAACCAAGCTGATGGGAGATGTGGGCTGACCCTTTAAATTACTGGTGGTGGCATCTCCTCCATGGCTGTGTGTATGTCTGTAGGGACTGGACTGCACTGGTTATTCATGATGCTTGCCTGGGGTGGGGGGCTGGCTCTGGAGAGAAGCGTTGGAGGGAGGCAGTGGTCCATGTGATGAGAGCAGAAACTCCCCGTGCCAGGTGGGAAGCTTGGCTTAGGGAGAGATTTCCTGGAGGGAGCAGAGAGCTTCTCCATGCAGGCAATGGCATGGTGCTGCCTTGCTTTGTCAGCTGCTTTTGGCTGGATCTCTGGGTTTGCTATGTTTAATACTGGGAAGTGCACTTTGATACATGTGTGGTCCCAGCTTCATTCATTGAGCTGTGAAGAGACAGAGGCAGATTGAATATTTGAGAGCTGGGGAGATCTGCCCATGGTAGAGAATCCCTTCCTCTAGTCCCTGAACTGCTGGGAAAATATTTTAGGCTTAAGTGTGGCAATATTAACGGTTCATCTGTTTTCATGTGTCTGTCTTAAACCTGGCCTTAAACCTAAACTTCAGGAGTAATTTAAGCACGTGCAAACTTTAATTCCTACCCTGGTGAAATGTACCTTATGAAGGAAATTGCTTTTTCTCCTGCTTGCAAGACTTCCCCAGCACTGACAGCATTACACACACATCCGTGTGAACTGGGGAGGCAGGCTGTCGACTCCGTGTTGTAAGTACCACTGGAGTGGTAATTTCAGAACATACTTAAGTGCTTTGGATGGAAAAGTTTTGCTGGATTATTTGTGTCATTAACTAAAGCATGTGCTTAAGTGTCTCTGTGAATTGGGGATGTGTGCAATTACCTCCCTTTCCGCTTGTAACTTCCCTCTAGTAGCGCTTATTTAAGTGTTAGTCTCCCTTCTAGTAAGGCAAACATTGCTTTCCCAATGACACTCAGCAGAAATAGATGTGCTGGATATTGAATAGTTGCTGAAGGAGTTAGCAGCTGCAGCAGGAGACAATCCTGGCAGCCAGGAGGTAAGTGCAGTGCTCCCCGCCAGCAGGTTTCTGCTGATGCCAGGAGTGACTTAAGAACAATCGTGCCCTCTCTGTGCCACCTCGGGTTTATAGACCTCAATCACATCTTCGGGGTGGCTTTTCAAGGCTGCAGAGTGTCTGTGCCAAGTGTCTTTCCGCTCCTTTGACTGTCTGTTAGAAAAATCTAGTGGTCCTGGAGCCCCCCAAGCCTTAGTAATTGGGGGCACAACAGTATTTCAGAGTTGTCTTCTATGGTAGATGTGGCTGAAAATACTTACTGCAGGAGCTGATGGATCCCTTCCCCAACAAAGCTTACAAGTTTGCTGGACAAACACAGATATTCTACTATTTTGCTTCTGATATTGTGGATATGGTGACACCTGAATGCAGGTTTGACTTCTTGAAGACAGTAAAATTTCCTTCTGGGTTGACTTAGTGGTGGCTTATTTTTAATAACTGCACAGTAAATGGTTTTGCTGAATGAAGGTGAATTTGATGTTGTGCCAGTTTGCTTTGGCAGGTGAACAGTGGAAATCAGTACCAGGTGAAGTGTGTAACAGGAGGATTTTCTTCCAGTGTCAGGCTGCTGTCTGCTGGCCAGAAATGTTTTCTTTAGT